ATGTCATTGGCAGCAGGCCCATTTAAATAGACATCAGCTGCTGTCAGATTGCCTCTACGGGCTGGTAAAGTGCCCGACACTCCTGCTGTGTCTCCCAGGCTCTGCTGCCCCTCCTGCGGGCCCGGGACTGGCATCTCGGGTATCGGCGGGAAGCTGGGCAGAAGAACGACTGTTCAGCAATCTCCTTCAGCATCACTTCCAGTCAGTGGCGGACCTAATAACCAAAGGGCCCTGGTGCAAGATTTTATCTGCCGCACTCACAAATTCGGATAGAAGTGACATTTCAGGACCGATCAGCTGTTTCAGGGCAGATCGGTTCTCCTGCACATGCGATTTGCGATGCCGATCTGCCCTAGAACAGCAGAGAAAGCGTTGGAATGCTTCACCTATTCCAACACCAAAAAACTGGGCGAGATTACGTGAAAATGTGTGACCACGTCACTGGTCACACATTCTAACGTAGTCTCAAACTTTGATAGAACAGAGGCCCCGTCTAATCATTTAATCAGATAAATAGATTATAATCAGGAACATTACAGTGTAATATTCCCCATTATAATCCACTTGTCTGATTACATGAAAAAGAGCAGTACACAACACCTATCCTGAACTTTTTCTATTTTAAAAGGGAAATATCAGGGGTCTGTTTAGACCCCTAATATTTCCCAACAGTAAAGTAAAAAAAAAAAAGTATTCAATAAAAATAAATAAAAATGAAATATAAACAAATAAAGTTGTGGGGGGTTGCGGGGGAGAGCGGGGGGCGGGAACTTACCTGCCGCTCCTCTGCTTAGAAAGGTCTGGTCAGATGCCCTGCTCCTGCAGAGCCCACACTGGAAGAGCAGGAAAGTGCCCCGGGCCCTCGCACTGATTGCACCGGCGGTAGTTCCGCCACTGCTTCCAGTCCCATAGATGTCATTGCTTGGCTCCTGAAGCTGAGCAATAAGCTATTGAAGTGCGATTTGCACTTCCATAGCTTATTTAAAGTGGAAAGGTGATACTAGGGGTCTTTTGGACCCCCAGTGTCACCTTAAAGAGGACCTGTCACCACCAATATGCTATCACATGGAGGGCTTGAAAGCCCCCTATGTGATAGCAATTAAAGTAAAGTAAGAGTATGCAATTGGGATTTAAGACTAGTAACCTGTTTAGGGGCAACATGTGAACGACCAGAGGAGGACTCTAGCGACGGGTCCAGGTGAACATTTAAGTCTCCAGCGAGGACTGTCATTCCACTCTGGAAGTCAACGTGAGAGCGCAGCATGCAAGTGAGGAACGGGACGTGCGCCTGATTCAGCCCATAAACATTCCCAAGGGTGTAAATTTGTACACCCACCTTCCCTTGCAAGAACAAAAATCTCCCGTCAGAGTCAGACCTCATATCCATCAGTTGAAAAGGGAGGCGTCTGTGAAATCCGATGGCTATGCCACTGCTCATACTGGATGGCGAGGTACGATAGTACCAGATGGGGTATTGGCGAGAGCAGGGCCGGTGCTGCCACTAGGCAGCTGCCTAGGACACAGTGCTGACTAGGGTGCAGCCTCGACCACTCATTTAAGAAGTGCATTGCTCGAAACTTGTCCGCAGCCCGAAGGTTCGAAAGTAGTCTATCCTCGAGACCCGGTGGGAATTGAGGGTTGCCTATTATCGGCATCAAGGGTGAGGGAGACGGCGAAAGTTGCTTCCCCAGAAAGGCAGATCGGGCTACTCGCCAAGTGGTTCCTATCGTGGGGTGCAGCCTAACTGCCTTATCCAATTGTTTGTCGCACCATGGTAACACCGCAAGCGGAATGGCGGACATGCCCTGCTCAATAGCCACCCAAGGCTTAATCTCTTCATGTCGGCACCAGTCCATAACACGGGCCGAGTGTGATGCTACATAATAAAGCTGAATGTCTGGTAAGGCAAGGCCCCCTGAGTCCTTAGGTCTCCGTAAAATGGACAGTCGTAGTCGCGGTGTCCTGCCCGCCCAAACAAACCGTGTGATCATGGCCTGTACAGAGGCAAAAAAGCTGCTGGGCAGAGAAATTGGTAATGCTTGAAACAGGTAGAGGAACCTTGGCAGTACATTTTGTTTAATAACATTGCACCTACCCGTCCAAGTGAAGGCCTGTCGTGACCACCCAAGAAGGTCCGATTGAACTGTCTGGAGAAGTGGCAAAAAGTTAAGACTATAAGTGTGTTTTAGGTCTCACGGGAGGTGCACTCCAAAATATTTAATAGAGGACGAAGACCATTGAAATGGGAAATTTAGGGATATGCGTTCGAGCATTCAGGGGGGAATAGTGAGATTCAACGCTTCCGATTTTTGACTGTTTATATGGAAATTGGATAGTTCCCCATATAGATGGAGGGCAGACATGAGATTGGGCACAGAGGTGTCTGGGGCCGTAAGGAAAAATAATAAGTCGTCTGCGTAGGCAGCTATCTTATGTTGGTGGGCGCCAAGCTGTATGCCCCTGATGTCCGGATTCATCCGGATGGAGCGCAGTAAGGGTTCTAGAGTCAAAATGAAAATCAGCGGAGAAAGGGGGCAACCCTGACGTGTCCCATTGGTGATCCCAAACGGTTCGGAAAGGGTGCCATTTACACACACCCTCGCCGTTGGTCCGTTATATAGGGCCATGATCCAGGACAACATGCCCGGGCCTGTCGTTTCTGATTCAGAAGGGTAATTAAGCACTAGCTCTGCAAGGAGCTGGTGCTGTGTCTTTTTGCCAGCTTCCTGTTTGTCTAAGAGCTTATACTTCTGCTGTTTTGTCATTGCTGACTGTCCATCCTGATCTTCTGCCTGGACTCCTGCGTTTATCCTCTGATTAATCGTTGCTGACCTGGGAACATCTGACCACCCTCTGCTAGCCGCCTACCTTGAACTCTGCCTGGATCTGACTACTGTCTCCTCATTGGAGCCCTCCTGTTCTCATCCATCCCTTGGCAGGACAACCCTGGGGATCGCGACCTGGTACCAGCAAGAAGCCTAGCCCATCTCCACCATCAGGAGCTCTGGTGAACACCGGCTGGCACTTAGACCCCACCCCTCAGTGAAGCCCATGTCACTCTAACAGACACATACAGGAAGTGAACGTCAAAATATTACAATACAAAATAAATGAACAACTATTATAGGAATCAGGATGAGCACAAAATTATAACTAATACAATTCAATCAAGGAAAATGATAGCTATATAATAAAGAAATGATGATAGCAGATTCTGGAGCAAAAGGAAATAAAATAGTTAAATTCACTGTGATTCTTCAATTATCTGTATATTGAGAAAAAATATATATAAATGGCAGGGGCACCAGTAGTTAGGGAGGAATCAATTTAAATAAAAGAGGCGTATATGTTATCATTCAGTCCTTCCTTTTATCCCATAGATCTACTTATTTTCTATGTGCAGTCATTTTTTATTATAATTCCTCCTCTTGAGTTGGTGTGTATCCTGCAAACTTCTAGAAAATGTACATAAAATTTCAGCATATAGTGGTGTAGCTGTTGTTCTGCCAGACATACCCTAGGTAGGGCAACAATGAACTGTAAGGTAAAGAAGGCACTAGATACTGTATAGCTGGAACCACAGGTAATGCTTGGGAGTGCAGAGATGGGTAGAAGAGGTGCAGCTGTAGCTGCAGCAGAGCCTGCGGGTGCTGGGGTAATGCAGTAGAGACCCAAGCTGTTTGTGCACCAGGTGTGCTGGGGGCATGGTGAGTGCTACAGGAATGCAGCTATGTCTGTGGTACTTGCAGAGGTGCAGCGGAGCTGCAAAAGCAGTGGTGACTTTGAAGTACAGAGAGGCTGTGAGGTCAGCGAAGGTGCAGCAGACTCTGTAGTAGTTGCTGGAGGCAGCAGAGCAGAAGGAGTGGCCACATAGAAAGCTCAGGTACCTCAGATTGCTTGCGTAGCTCAGTTAGCACAACTCAACTGACTTAAGTAACTAGCTTAAATGGGAGTTCCAGTCACGTGATGCGTCATGTAACACTGTAAAACTCGAGTTTTAAAGTGGAAAGGTGATAGGAGGCGTCACCTGTAAGATACTCTTGAAGTCACTCTAAAAGGACCCTCTTCCCCATGTATAGTATGTTTTTACATTTTTTTTTACAATAGCTTCCCTATTAGCCTTGAAAATGGTCAGAATGTATTATCAAGATTTACCTCCACCCGCACAGATTTTAATGCTATGTTTGGGTTGCATGGATTTCAAGCAGGATTTGATGAACCCCCATAAATCAAACCCAAGCAGATTCACTCATCCCTAATCAGTACTGTTGATGATGTGATGGGGTGCACTTGAATGCAGTAGGAACAGACATTAGGGTTGTTTGGTAATAAAGATAATATCTAAAAAGGGTTGTGAATTTGTACATGCAAGCATAAGAAGTTTTTTGGAGCACGGAGGCAGGTTTCAAAATCTTTAAAGACAGTCATGGTGATTGTGGTTAACAGGCTTCCTCTGAAATACCCTTGTCAAGAGAGGTCCAGAAGTGGAGGACCTACAGTGAGGAAAATAATTATTTGATCCCCTGCAGATTTTATAAGTTTGCCCACTTACAAAGAAATTAAAGGTTTATAATTTTTTTTATCATAGGTGTGTTTTAAATGATAGAGACAGAATATCAACCAAAAATCCAGAAAAAAACAACTGATACAAATGTTAAAAATTGAGTTACAGTTCAGTGAGTAAAATAAGTATTTGTTCCCCAAGCAAAACATGACTTAGTACTTGGTGGAGGTAAGATGTTTCTTGTAGTTGGTTACCAGGTTTGCACATATCTCAGGAGGGATTTTGGTCCACAAGTTTCAGCTCCCTCCATAAATTTTCTAAAGGGTTAAGGTCTGGAGACTGGGTAATATAACAGACTGATAAAACCGTATTTTTGTTATTATAATGAACTGCAATTTTGTTTTTTTTTTGCTAGTGTAATAATGTGAGTAACATTTAATTTCAAAACGGAACATATTCAAATGTATATTTATTCATAGTTTTCTCTTTCTTTTAGGTGTTGTTGTTCAAACATGGATCTTAAATCGGTATAGAATGGTGCAACTGGAAATAATAGATCAAGTTGTGATGTCATATGGTGGCCTGAGGGGAGCTGTTGCCTTTGCTTTAGTCGCTTTATTAGATGGAGAACGGGTGAAAGAAAAAAGATTGTTTGTTAGCACAACAATAATTGTTGTTTATTTTACAGTCATCTTTCAGGTACGTTGTATGACTATATTGGCTTTCATGGAAACACACTCACTTTATATGGAATAGAAATGTTCACAGTTGTTGGAAGTACTCTATGAATGTAATTGACTGCTTCTGTTATCCATTTAGTATGGTCCATTCCATATTCCAGCCTCATTTTTCTGGTTAGAAAATAGAAACTAAGATGCAGTGCCTACTAGCAAAAATATGCCTGTTCTAGATTGATAATGAATCTAGAAGAGGCATCCTGTTCTAGCAAACTTTTTGTTGTCTGTATTATAATAGAAGATTGTCTTCTGTGGTTGGGACCTCTTGTCTCAAAAAATCCACACTTCCTATCAATATTCTGCAGTTACAAGTAATTCATCATTATTATTATCATTACTTCACTGACCCATCATCAGCTGTGGTTGATATCAATCATTAGGGGTGTACCAGGAGTGTTGCGGCATCAATAGAGGTGGCCTAACCTGTCCTGGGTGTTGTTTCATTTCCCAGAGATCTCCATGGTGCACATTCCCAGGGTAAAAAAATTGCATGATTTTCTCATCAGACAATGTCTGGACTCAGGGAAATGGTCTCTTTATTAAGAAGTCCTACAGGACAGATGTCTGTGTTGGGGAACGTAGGATGTGGACTTGCTAGCTTGTCGGTTCAACAAGACACTGGACAGATTTGACCCCAGGATGAAGGACCCAACGGCAGATGCAGTGTTATCCCTTGATGGGATCAGTATGCCCTTATCTATTTCCTTCACTGAAGCTCTTGTCTTATCTGCTTTAAAGAATTGATGCTGAGGGTGTTCAAGTCATTCTTATAGCCCTAAATGGGTGTTTAGGGCTAAATGACAGCTTCAGGCCCCACAGTGGAATGTAAACAAAATCAATGTCAGTTACACCCCTTGGTATACATTTGGCTGTCAGCTTGGGAAAATGACAAAGTGGCAGAGGCACTGCTGACACTGACTGCTGTGGAGGCACAGGGGGAAAAAAGGGCTGGAAAAAGGCACAAGGATTCTGGGGAACAATGGGACACAGAGGAGACTAATGCACCAGGTATAAGGAGGCAGGTAAGACTTTGGCAGTATGGGGGCTCAGATTAGCCATGAGTGTGATGGGCACTACCAGAGCTTTCACCATCAGGATAAAATCTTTTCCACTGTTTCACCATTATTCCTGGCTTCTTTAAAGAGTTTGCTATGTAGCATTTGACAGCTGAGAATGTAAAATGGGCAGAGCGAACCGTGACGTCACGGCTCGCTCCCCCCATCTGTTTATTTTCGTGCTGAATGTCAGTTTGTGGCGAATTTTCGCATGGATCTGACGGTCGTCGTGCGGCAGGACTTTTTTTATTGCGGTGGGTCGGCGGGTGTCGTGCATCATGATTGACGCTGGATTACATCGATGGAGCCATTTTTTTTTTAAATTAAAGGGACAGTCAAAAGTTCAATTAACCAGTTGCAAAAAAAGGACGGACGGCATAGTCGCATTGGCGGGTTATCTTAGGGCCATCAATCACTGATAACACTAAACTGATGCTTTTAAAGTGCTTAAAGTTTAAAGTGTCGCCTATGGCCAATTTTGGGTATTATAGTTTTTTGAAGTTTTGCGCACGCACACAATTTTAAGGCTTGACATGTTTGGTGTCTTTTTACCCGACGTGACCCCATATTTTATATTTTACCAAAAATTGGGTAATAATAAATGTTTTATCATTAAGTGTAGGGGAAACAGTTTTTTTTTTAAATTCTGTAATTTTTCCTTAATATAGTAAAAAATAAAACCCGCAGTGGTGATTAAATACCACCAAAAGAAAGCTCTATCTGTCCCTAAAAAATGGTATAAAATGAATTTCAGTACAGCGTTGCATGACGGAATAAATGTCAGTCAAAGTACTGCAGCGCTGAATACTGAAAAATGGCCTGGATGGGAAAGGGGTGTGAACACTACAGACTTTAACTGGTTAAAGGATTGTGTCAAAAGTCTGGACTTTTTACTAACTATTTGATTTAACCCTTTAGTGAATGGGTAGGGGTACAAGTACCCCTTACTCATTCACAAGAGACATCAGTGTGAACAAGTTGTAGATATGAGAATAAATAAAACAATAAGCAATGTGGCTCACTTATGTATTTGGAACCTACTGCTGCTCTATACTACTATAATATTTTCAGCAATTATAATGAACTGAAAAAAATAATGAAAATAATTGCCAGGAAAGAAAAGCAGACAGTGAAATTAGTGTTCTCTAACATGGTCATTGGAGAAGTGCCCCCCCTTACATTGATGGTCAGTGGAGAAGTGTTCCCTTTCTTAATGGTCATTGGAGAAGTGCCCCCTTACTTAATGGTCATTGGAGAAGTGCCCCTTACTTAATGGTCAGTGGAGAAGTGAACCATACATTGATGGTCAGTGGAGAAGTGAACCGTACATGGTCAGTGGAGAAGTGCCCATTTACCTAATGGTCAGTGGAGAAGTGAACCGTACATTGATGGTCAGTGGAGAAGTGAACCGTACATTGATGGTCAGTGGAGAAGTGAACCGTACATTGATGGTCAGTGGAGAAGTGAACTGTACATTGATGGTCAGTGGAGAAGTGAACTGTACATTGATGGTCAGTGGAGAAGTGAACTGTACATTGATGGTCAGTGGAGAAGTGAACTGTACATTGATGGTCAGTGGAGAAGTGAACTGTACATTGATGGTCAGTGGAGAAGTGAACTGTACATTGATGGTCAGTGGAGAAGTGAACTGTACATTGATGGTCAGTGGAGAAGTGAACTGTACATTGATGGTCAGTGGAGAAGTGAACTGTACATTGATGGTCAGTGGAGAAGTGAACTGTACATTGATGGTCAGTGGAGAAGTGAACTGTACATTGATGGTCAGTGGAGAAGTGAACTGTACATTGATGGTCAGTGGAGAAGTGAACTGTACATTGATGGTCAGTGGAGAAGTGAACTGTACATTGATGGTCAGTGGAGAAGTGAACTGTACATTGATGGTCAGTGGAGAAGTGAACTGTACATTGATGGTCAGTGGAGAAGTGAACTGTACATTGATGGTCAGTGGAGAAGTGAACTGTACATTGATGGTCAGTGGAGAAGTGAACTGTACATTGATGGTCAGTGGAGAAGTGAACTGTACATTGATGGTCAGTGGAGAAGTGAACTGTACATTGATGGTCAGAGGAGAAGTGAACTGTACATTGATGGTCAGTGGAGAAGTGCCCCTTTACTTAATGGTCATTGGAGAAGTTCATAAGGCAAAGAGACACATTCAAGTCCTGCATACACACAAAGATGTGACTCTAACCACAGCAGTGTTGGTAGTCTTGGACCATCAGCAAGGAAGCACACTTTATTCTGTATCTGTAAAAAATAAGTCAAGGCAACTGGACTTGCTGTATTTTTGTTGAGGACATTTCACTGGACATCCGACCAGCTTTCTCAATTCAGAATGACTTTTAACACCTCTCTCTGGACAGGTTAATAACACCTCCTAGCTCCAACTATGCAAATGCATCAACACCTTACTTACCTCCATGAGGTCTCTGACCCCATGCTGGTTGTGATTAACAGATTATGTGAATTGGAGCGACATTCACCATATTTATTCCCAGAGAATTGAGAAAGCTGGTCAGATGTCCAGTGAAACAGTATAACATTATATACTTACTAGTGATGCAGTATCGGTGCCGATACTGAGCATTTGCACAAGTACTTGGTAATTGGTATCGCTGAGTACTTTAGTAAAAGTATCTGTACTTGTACTCAGACTCTAAAAAATGGTATTGGAGCTTCCCTAATAATTACTGTCACTTAAGGCGGTAAAATGCACCTTCGCCTGTGTAAGCAAAAATCCTTGCACCAGCCCTGCTGGCGCCCTATCCTTTTGGGGAGGATTTTGTAAAACGAAATTTTTTTTCGCCCCCCCCATTATATAAACAACCACTGGAACTGTACCCTGCACCTCCCCTCCACACACACATGTTTTTATTTTAATTTTTCACATTTTAATATTTTATTTTTTTAAATCAATTTTTATTTATTAATTAATTTTTTATTAAATATTTTTATTTTTTACTTTACTTTTAGGGGCTTCTAACCCTCCTTTCAGGATCCTGAGGAAGCGGAATCCTTCCTCCTGAAAAATGAAAATGGAATCGGGTCTCCCTCTAAACAACCTATGCCTTAACGCTTGCCCAAGAAAACTCAGGTCTATGAAGTGGAATGGGGGGAAGGCCGGATGGGACAAAAAATAGGCCCGGGCATTTTGGACTGAGCAGCCCAATCGCATGACCCCTGACAGGCCCCACCCTGTCACAATCTGGGGTGTAATTATTATTACCCAATAGTAGCTCAATCGAGGGGCGTGCGCCTAAGGCGGCTGCCTAATTGCAGGGGACTCTGTGTCCCCCTTAGTCTGGTCCATGTGTTCCCTCAGTCTGGCCCTTATGTCCCCCCTCAGCCTGGTCTATGTGTCCCCTCAGTCTGGCAATTGTATCCCCCCTCAGTCTGATCCATACGTCCCCTCAGTCTGGCCCCTGTCTCCCCCCTAAGTCTAGTCCGTGTGTCCCCTCAGTCTGACCCTTGTGTCCCAACTCAGTCTGGTCCATGTGTCCTCTTTTCCTGGCCCCTGTGTCCCCCATCAGTCTGGCCCATGTGTCCCCTCATTTTTGCCCCTGTGTCCCCTCTGGCTCCCCTCAGTCTGGTTCATGTGTCCCCTCATTCTGGCCCCTGTGTCCCCCATCAGTCTGGCCCATGTGTCCCCTCATTTTTGCCCCTGTGTCCCCTCTCAGTCTGGTCCATGTGACCCCTCATTTTTGCCCGTGTCCCCCCTCAGTATGGTCCACGTGTCCTCTCATTCTGGCCCGTGTCCGCCTTATTCTGGTCCATGTGTCCTCTCATTCTGGCCCCTGTGTCCCCCCTCAGTCTGGTGCATGTGTCCCCTCAGTTTGGCCACTGTGTCCCCCCTCAGTCTCGGGGGGGTCATCATTCCAGTTTCCCCTAATCAAACAGTTTGAAGGATTTTATTTAAACCAAAAGGAGGTATCTTGTTCTTAAATGTCCTGTATAAAGTACATTCTCAAAACTTTCAGATGAAATCTATTCAGTCTATGTGGTCAGTTGTTGTCTCCCTTGATTGTGGAGGCTCTTGGCTTCCTTCGATAAAAAGGATTTTCATATTGTTACCTTGCCAAATCATCAGCAATTTCTTCGCTTTGCTGGGTGCAACAAATCCAGGCTTTCTCAGTTACATCCACAAACCAAGTTCCCTGTCATGGTTGCTTCTGTCCCTAGCATTATCATTGGGCAATTTTTTTTCTCCCTATTATAATGGTATGATGGAAGATTGTCTTTTGGGTTGGGGTAGAGTTTTGGATCCTCTCTCTGTTCAGTGTTGTTGGTCTCAGAAAAAAAGCAATATTTCCAATCAATAACTTGCAATATCCTTACTTCACTGGACCCCCCTTCTAACCAGTCATCTGGTCCAAATTGAAACAGTTGATGCCACAGCTGTGGCTTTCATCAATCATTATGTGTGCACCAGAAGTGTTGTGGCATCGATGGCGATGGTCTAACCTGTTTGGGCGTTATATAAAAAAGAAAAAGACTTAGCGCTCCAATTCTACCAAACTGCAGATCAACACAGGCATCAGGTGCAGACTGCCGTGTGCTCCGTCTTGTCAAAGAATATCTCTGACCTCTATGATTAAGCCCAGATGGTGAAACACGTGAGAGGCATTGGGGTGGGAGATATACTATGGTGGTATATACCTATTTGAACTTTGCATGGAATTTCCAACAATAAAGTTGGATTTTTATGGACCTTGGTTTTGTGCGGCTGATTGGAGAGATACTGTTCTGGGCGTTGTTTCATTTTCCAGAGACCTGTTGCAAGTTCCCAGGGTGGCAAACTGGCACATTTTCTCAGCAGACAATGTCTGGACCAAGGGAAATGGTCTCTTTATCCTGCAGTCTTACAGGACATGTGTCTATATTGCGGAACATCAGATGTGGACTTGCTAGCTTGTCGGTTCAACAAGAAGCTGGACAGATTTGACCTGGTACCCGACAGCAGATTCCTTGGTGAGGTCAGTATTGTTGGTGCATCACTTCGGTCAATAGGTGTCACATACCTGGGTGGAGACTGAGCTGACCAGTGGGCTTCCCTTGCACCACTAGTCCAACTACCCTGGAGATGATAACAGGAGGAGTGGGGACTCAGGGACGCACAAGTGCCACTGCATTGGTAAACACGGTTTCTGAATTTGAGTGCGTTGACCTCAGTATGGTAATGGCAGAGACTGGGCCACGGGCTGGGCAGCAGCGTGAAGTAAATGGGCTGGAGCTTACTTGAAGAGACACAGGACAGAGTCCAAGCAGGAAAGCCCAGTGGATGCCACAGGTGAATCAGGAACATAGTCGAGGTCACAGGCCAGGGTCATTCACAGTGAAACACTTGCAAGGATAAGGTGCCAAATCGAGAAACACAGAGTAGTCAGGGCCACAAGCTAGGATCGAACACAAGGAAGCCAGTTGCCGGGTAGAAGTGCCAAGTCGGTAATCAGAAGCAGAGTCAGGGATGAAGCCGGGTCAGAACACAGGAAGCCAAGCAGCAGGAGACAGGAAACAGGAAGCAGGATACAGCTGAGACCAGTCAGCAATGGATTCAGGACTCACACTGACTTTATAGTGGATCAGACGTCACTGAACGTGCGTAACAGCATGCGTAGCGAGCTGACATTTGCATGCATGGAATCCAATACACGTGCACCCTTTATTAAGAGCAAATTTGCACTTAAGCCTAAGGACAGGAGCACGCTGCAGGTCATGCACATGAACCAGGGGTGGCTTTTTGGTAAGTAAAAGCCACCCCTGGTGGTTTCTAGTTCAGCACTCCTTACCTAAAGACAAAGTTGTTTTGAAACAAAGGACCACTTTCTTGCCCAAAGTGGTCTTCTCATCACCTTAATGAAGATATTGTCTAACTTTACCTGCGTCTTGCACTAATTCATCCGAAGGTGATCTTTCTCTGTTACCTGGATGTGCCCCCTCCATCAGCCCCAGTGATGGTTCAGTCCATCACAATTACCATTTTAATTTTTTGTAATGCTTGCTAGCAGTAGATATATGCTCAAAAATAACGAGTGTTTAATTAAATGTTAAAATACAAAAAACATCATGGAGTCCCCCCCAATTCATTCCAGACACTTTAGGTCTGGTAGGAATTTTAGGGGGACCCCATGCAAAAAAAAATGCGTGGGGTGCCCCCTAAAATCCCTTACCAGACCCTTGATCCGAACAGCAGCCTGGCAGAGTAGGAAAGGGGGGAGACAATCGTGCACCTCCCCTCCGGTGCCATACCAGGCCACATGCCCTCAACACGGGGAAGTTGCTTTGCCAGGGATCTTTTCCCCGCAATGCTGGCCCAGTGGTTGTGGGGGTCTGCAGGCAGGGGGGCTTATCTAAATCTGGGTGTCCTCTTTCATAAAGGGGCACCCGGATCCCCTACCTTGTGAATGAGTAAGGGGTAGCTGCTACCCCTTCTCATTCACCAAATACATATAAATAGTAAATAAACACACCACACCACCCTGAAAAGTACTTTATTTGAAAAAAACAACACAGTTTTTGACAAGTCCTTTATTAACCCCCCCCCCCAAAAAAAATGTCCATCGATGTAATCCATAGGTCAATCACATAGGGGTCCTCCATAGGGGACCAGGTGCTGTCACAGAATGTAAACAAATGGGCGGAACAAGTTCAGTGACGTCACAACTCACTCCGCCCCTTTGTTTTATCTTTTGAAGCAGACCTGTCATTTGCGGCTGGTGTTCATCATGTTCGGATAAGGCAGCAGACAGTGGCGATTTTTGCTTTGCGCGACGACCGTCGGAGGCGGTCGTCCATTGCAATTGACGAGGATTTTTTAAATAAAGGACTTGTCAAAAAGTGTGCTGTGTTTTTTTTTCAAAATAAAGGACTTTTAAAGGACGGTGTAGTGTAATTCTTTTTACAATGTCACTATGTATTTAATGAATGAGTAGGGTTAACAATTACCCCTTACTCTTTCACGAGGGGGGGGGCAGGATCTGGGTGCCCCCTTTATGAAAGGGGGCACCCAGATTCAGATAAGCCTCCCTGCCCACAGACCCCCACAACCACCGGGCCAGGGTTGTGGGGAAGAGGCCCTTGTCCTCATCAACATGGGGACAAGGTGCTTTGTTTGCCAAGCATCCTCCCCATGTTGAGGGCATGTGGCATGGTATGGTGCAAGAGGGGAGGATTGTCCCTGCTTTCCTGCTCTGCCAGGCTGCTGCTTGGATCAAGGGTCTAGTACGGGATTTTGGGGGGACCCCATGCTTTTTCTTTTTTTTGCCATTTGGGGGGGCAGGTTTTTTTTGTGGTTCCTTTGGACTGTCAAAAGTTAAAAAGCAAAAAGGTAAATATTTAATGTTACTTTTTTGCAACAAATGTTAGTTTGTAATTATCGTTCAACTCACCCGAAATTAAAAATTCAGATTCGTCTAAATCCGAACAACTTTTCCCGAAAAATGAAATGATGAAAAATGAAATGATGAAAAATGAAATGATGAAAAATGAAATGATGAAAAATGAAATGATGAAAAATCCAAAACTAAATGAAACAATTTGTTTGGCCGGCTTACATATCTACTAAGTTATTTGCACACTTTTCCCTTTTGTTTATTCAAAGTTTAGTGAAGCTGACACAAAAATTACAGTGCTGGATTTCTAAAGCAGGGCTAGGAAGGTGACAATAATATTTCACTAACTGATGCTCTTATTACTCTTCACCCAAATAAAATGTATTGGTTTTCTTCAAATAACTTGTTTGTGTTTGTATAATTTATTTATGTTCCAAATTCATACTGTACATTTATGCTTATTTGAATAGGGGCTTACTATTAAACCTTTAGTGCAATGGTTAAAAGTGAAGAAAAGTGAACATCGGGAAAAAAAACTCAATGAAAAGCTTCATGGCCGAGTAAGTTTCACATTTGGTTAAACTAGTTTGTTTTGAGACATTTGTTTTAGGCCAAATTTGTGATTGCTTTATGATTACTAAAATAACAGTTCCTTTCTGCTACCTCTAACACAGATAAATTTAATGGCAATAAGAAAAACATATGTGGGTCTTATGTAGGGATGCATTGGCCGCCAAAACATATCGGCCGAAAATGGCACTTTTGGCATAATGCCGAAAGTGCCATTTTCCTGCCGATACATCGGCGCATACCTGCTTTCTTTCCTCCCCGCTGGGCTCTGCTCTGTGCCAAAGCAGGGAGGAGAGAAACTGTGATAGCCGGCCGAGGAGAGCGGGAGGAGAGTGCTGTGAGTGGCCAGCGTCTCATTCCAGACCGCTCATCGTCCTATCACAGTCCGGCAGAGCGGTGTGTGGGCGGAGACAGGCAGCGCTAGCACAGGAGGCTGAGCTCTCCTCTCTACACCGCTCGATCAGCCTCCTGTGACAGAGTGTCAGAGAGGAGAGCGAGAGCAAACACTCAGCGATCGCTGAGTAAATGTAAAGCAAATATGTTGCACTAGGTCTATGTGAACCAACTACACACTAAAGTGTTAATAAACAAATCTGTGTAAAATTACAACAATCCATGTGAAAAAAATTGATGCAAGTGGATTATTTACATATGACTAGAAGGTTCAACACACAAAAATAATAATAATAATAATAAAAAAAATAAAAAAAATCAACACTGGAACCTTCAGAATTAGTGCCAGTGATCAACCTCATTGGTTCGGCATCTATATCTCAAACATGCAAACCTCTGGCTAGCGATGTAGTAAAACAACACAGAAAACTTAAATTTAAACCGTGATATTAATTCAAGCTGTGAACAAACTTTGAGAAGGAAGAAGGGGCTCTGTGGTGGCCCTCCAATCCTCCTTAAAAAAAAGGGTGGGAGGTTTACGATATAAAGCTCTCCATCAACAGACTTAATAGTTTTAAAACGACACTATATCTAGCATATTAAAATAGAAGGACTAAATATAAATCAATAGGCAACAATAATTATATTTTCTTCTGTGTGGGGAGGTTTACGGTATAAAAATCTCCATTAGCGGACTTAGTAAATAAGAAAACAACATTATATCTAACATATTGGATAGAAGGACTTAATACAATACATTTAAAAGGTCATGGATGAGACACATAGGATAGGAAACTCATATACAGGGCATGGTTAATAAAAAGACTGTTTCGGATCGGACCCTCATTTTCATGAGTGCCGCTTACCGAGTGATCGGCATAAGGTCCCGACTGAAACAGTCTAAAAATAAAAAATAATAAAGGCAGTTCCACAATCCCATTAACCCTATAGGCAACCCTAAGATAGCTACTTTCTTTCAGGTCTACGGCAAGGTTTGCAATATATGAGTTACAATTACAATATACCATTATTTATTTCTATCCATGGGTGTTTGTTAATAAGGGGGCTGATTTTAATGTTATCCAGGACAGATTACAGCCAAATCTCATTGTATTCATTACAGCGGAGGGGAATATTAATAATCGGTTTCGGTGAGTTTATAATCTTAATAAGATCCTCCATAAGAGCCCAACTGTATGAGAAATTATTTTCATTTTTAAAATGCATTTTCTCTAGTGTTTAAAACGTTTTCTTTAAAAATAATAAATTAAAAGTGAATGTATAAAAAATTGTGTGTTAAAAATGGATAAAATTGTTAAAATAGATTGTTATCCTCCATGGGAATAGCACTGAGTATTTTTATCTCCACAATTTATCTCCTAAGTCTTTACTCTATTCTGTGTTAGAATTCTCTAGGCCTATTCTAGATGTTTATATATTCTAACTCCTAGGGTCTTGGTGGTCAGGTATCTTGTGAATGGTGCTATCAATCTCCTGGGTTAATCATTTGATAGAAAACAATTTAGGTCCAGTTCAATGTTCAACCCTTTCGGTGCCATAGTTTCCATCAGGAAGATCCACTTGGTCTCGTTTCTAGAGATCTCTCTCTTCATATGGTTCCCTCTCCAATGTTTGAATATTTTGTCCAAACCCATGAATTGGATTCCTTTCGGATTGCAACTAATTCAATAACTAATGACCCTGATGCTACAGGCTTATTCCAAGATAACAATGCCAGGATTCATCGGGTTCGAATTGTGAAAAAGTGGTTCCGGGAGTATAACACATCATTTTCACACATGGATTGGTCACCACAGAGTCCCGACCTTAACCCCATTGAGAATCTTTGGAATGTGCTGGTGAAGACTTTAGGCAGTGGACTGACTCACCCATCATCTCTACAAGATATTACTGAAAAATGAATGCAACTCAGCATGGAAATAAATGTTATGACATTGTATAAGCTTATCGAAACAATGCCATGGCAAATGCATGCCGTAATCAAAGCTAAAGGCAGTCCATCAAAATATTAGAGTGTGTGACTTTTTTTGGCCAGGCAGTGTATATGTAAGGTTGGCACCTAGCAGGCGGGCAGTACACTGACAGTACTGTGGTTTTTAATTTTACTTTTTACATTTACTTCTATGGAGTAGGACTCTGGACCCAATAAGACAGTATAACCATACAGGTTATGGTAAGAAAGGTCTAAGTGAATCAAAAAGCCCTTCAACCAAATGAGTACGTAGCAGAGTAAAGCCTAATTCTAATGTTTCTGAGAGTACTGAGAGTACTGACTGTAGGTCTTTGAGGCATTCCCCAGCCTCACCCCCAGCACGTCCCGTCCCACGTCGACTGAAGCCCCACCCCCTCCCGCCAAAGGCCCGCTGGACCAAGTCCCGCCCTCAACCTGTCCCCAAGCTAGTGTAAAGGGGGAAGGGAGGAGACACAGAGGAGCCTCCCTGTCCCTCACTTGCTCCTCACTGCTTAGGTGCTCCTGTTAGATGCCAATATGAATGGAGAAAAAGCTGTCAGCTTCAGACATGAAGCTGACAGCTTTTTCCTCCATAATTCTAGATGAGGCTCTGCCTCAACTGCCTCCCCTGATTCAAGATGTAAAAAAAGAACAAAAACGGAGTATTGCAGTATGCAATGATACCTTTCTTATTGGACTAACAAAATATATAAAAGACAAGCTTTCGAGAGTTAACCTCTCTTCTTCAGGTCAGAAGCAATACTAATCAACATGACAGTTTGTCAGTTAAAGCAAGAGAAAGTTGTTTGGGGGGAGGCCATAAATGTTGGACCTGGGAGTAAAGAATGCCTCCTGATAATCAAAAAACAGAACAAATAAACATAGGATGACCAATAAACCCTAAACAGATCAGAGATATATGACATACATGAATATTGTGATGTTCTATATATTCATAAAATGTTCTGGTAGTGTGTCAGAAAACCAGAATCCACATTAAGTCCCTCCTTTATGGCATTGAAATTTAAAACCTTTTTTATCTCAAATGTTTTCCTTTCATGAAAGTTTTTAAAATTTTCTTTTAGTACTTTAATTTTGAGGTTTTGGATGGAGTGATCCTTCTGGGAGAAGTGATGTCCTATTGGAGTGCAATATTAATTTTCTTTGTGGTTCTTGATCAAGCTCCTGAGATGCAGCTTAAGGCCAGTTTTCCCAATGTAACAACCTTTGTCACATGCTGAACACTGTATCATGTACACCACCAGGGCCGGATTTACTCCCCCAAGGCCAGGTCCCTCAATGCGCCCCCCTACCCTCCAAACCCCTCCACACCATGGAGCATGGCAGACCGGCAGGCTGCATACAAGTGATCTCAGGGAAACAAGACTACCCACCCGGCGCCTGGAACTGCATGTCCCGGGTGTCGGCAGATAGGAATTCCACACCCCTGCTGCCCCTCTACTCCCTGCTGCCCCAAGGCTGGGCCTTGGTTGGCCTTGTGGAAAATCCGGCCCTGTACACCACGTTAGCAGATGTGCACCCCAGAACAGACACTTACACAGAATGGCACAGTACAATGCAATAAACCCCACTGCAAACTTTGCCAACATATATGTGACAGAAATACAGCGAGCCACAATAACAAAGCGTACACCATTAAAAGGTCATACTACTGCACATCTGCTAAAGTGGTGTACATGATACAGTGTTCAGCATGTGACAAAGGTTGTTACATTGGGGAAACTGGCCTTAAGCTGCATCTCAGGATGAACCTACACAGGAGTTCGATCAAGAACCACAAAGAAAATGAATATTGCACTCCAGTAGGACATCACTTCTCCCAGAAAGATCACTCCATCCAAAACCTCAAAATTAAAGTACTAAAAAAGAATTTTAAAAACTCTCAAGAAAGGAAAACATTTGAGATGAAAATGATTTTACATTTCAATGTCGTAAAGAAGGGACTTAATGTGGATTCGGGTTTTCTGACACACAACCAGAACTTTTTATGAATACACAGAACATCACAATATTCATGTATGTCATATATCTCTGATCTGTTTAGGGTTTATTGGTCATCCTATGTTTATTTGTTCAGTTTTTTGATTATCAGGAGGCATTCTTTACTCCCAGGTCCAACATTTGACACCCCACTCACCCCCCAGCCCCCTAAAAACTTTCTCTTGCTTTAACTGACAAACTGTCATGTTGATTAGTATTTCTTCTGACGTGAAGAAGACAGGTTAACTCTCGAAAGCTTGTCTCTTATATATTTTGTTAGTCTAATAATAAACACACTGCAATACTCCGTTTTGGTTTTGTTTACATCTATATATATATTGTGGTATTGTGTGGCAATCACACGGTAGAACTGGGGGTTGTAGTCACCCAGGACTCTCAGCCAGAGGGGCTGAGCAGTTCCAGGTTCTTGTACTGGGAAAAAGCTGACTTTGTGGCTCTTCCCAGGATTTCTGGGAATTGGCATCCTCCCTTGCTCTCGGTCTCTCCTGGTCGCACTGGATCCTCTCTCCAGGTGTCTTTGCTAGGCCACACTCAGGCGTAGCTGCGAGGGGGCATAGCCAGGGCCGGCCTGGCTGTGCTCCCTCACCCCTATTGCCATGGTGAGCACAGGGCGCATGGGGTGCCAGGCAGCCAACACATCTCGGGGAAGGCAGGGAGTAGAGGGGCGGCACAGCCTGCAGCTTTTCCTCGTGTCGCTGCTGCTCTCTCCCGCCTGTATGGGCAGAGGCAGTGGGAGATTCGAGAAATGGAGCTCTGCAGCTGGCGGGGGGGCTGTCATGCAGGTTGACTGAGCAGCGAGGAGAGAGCCACCCATTCATAACTGGTTGATAGTAAATATTTTACTATCTCCAGTCTCTGAATGTATGGGTGCTTTCTATTCATACAGTGCTGAGGTTGCTCTGTGTTCTCAATTTCTTTTTCTATTTCAAAAGGGGAATGTTAGGGGTCTGTTTAAAACCCTAATATTTCCCTGAAGACCCCCCAACAGTAACAATAATACAAATTATAAAAAATAAATAAAAATAATTTTTAAAAAACCACATCGCCCGTTGATAAACCCCAGGGGCTGTCATGGCTGTGCTGGGACCCAGCCTCTTCTCCGTCGGCCGACCATCTCCTGGCCAAGTCCTCCCTGTCTAAGGATGGCATAAACCCCCAGTTTCTAGTCCTGGGGGCTGCCGCTCCAGCTCTATCGCCCGTAGTTCCACCCCTGGGGCTGTCCATGGCTGTGCCTGCGCAGGAAGGAGGAGGAGGAGATAAAAGAAACGTACAGGAACTGCCATGGACAGCTATCTACAGGTCCCCAGCAGGCCAAGTGTGGGAACTCGGACAGTCACTGCTATTTAAAAATGTAAAGGGCTGATAATGGCCTTAAGAATCTGAGCATTTTCACGAGTACAATTTCAAGAAAATTAATTTTTTTCTATTTTTGTAATGAGCTAGTCCAAATAAAAATCAAAGAGATAAACATATATGTATCCAAATGTTCTACCAAATTAAAACCCTATCTGTGCTAAAAATAAAGAATGTATGATTTTTAGTGTAGACTACAAACCCAAAAAGGTGTGCCATCGCCAGAACAGAAAAAATGCCACACATACAAAAAAACGTATATTCCAGTGGATATATTCTTTTCTATACCTCTTCATTGTATTTTCAATTGCTAGTCTTTTTAACTAACCAATTTAAAGATATATTATACATGAACATTTATAATAGCTGATATGATACACTTTTAACATGCATATGTGTCTGTATTTCTAAAGGCATTTGATCACATTTGCTCTGCAATTGAAGATGTCTCTGGACAAATTGGGCACAACTACATGAGAGAAAAGTAAGTAAATAGAATAAATGTTAGTTAAAATATACCTAAATTTAAGAAACAAAATTTAACAGGTTACCAGTCCTTAGATGTGGTGGCTGCATTGGTTATCTTTTTATAGTTGACTAAAGTTAACTTCCCACAGCCCATGCCAGCTGGTGCAAGTGGTCTCATACTTAAAAACGTCACTACACAGCTCCAGAGGCTGTTTATGACTAGCGGTTAATGGTCAATGCGGCCATGTGACTGAACTGATCATTGATAATTTTTTTTTTCTTCCAGGATGCCATTTGAAAGAAGAGATTCTCATTGGTCAGCGCTGTCATGTGGGCGTGCTGACCAATGACAGTTTGCCATTGCAAGCATTATCACTTTTTGTGCTTGCTCATAACTTACTGAGAATGAATAGAAGACTTTGTTTAAAAGCTTTTTTTTCAGTAAGTTAGAAAGGTTACATTACCAGCATGTAGCAGTATAGCTAGAAAGTTACATCAAATAAAATCAGGATAATGTGGGTAACAGCAGGTATCCAGATTGGTGTAATCACAGCATTAGCTTTGGAAGTCATGCTCCTGGATTGTGGGACCTGCCTGAAATGTTATCTCTTGTGGTTTTTTACAGACCTTTGTGTGTTCAGTTAAGTGTGTGTTAGTTAAGCGCAGAGCGCTTACCAGGTCTGGATCTATAGCACAGCCCCAAGTGTTTTCCAGTCTCTGAAGACTCTTTTATGAGTATGCAGTGTGGGTCGACCATTGGAAGCATTGTTACCATTGAGTGCCATCACTAATTTGAAATTATAATTCCAGCAGTGTGCATGGAAAAGGGTTAACTGCACTGAGGAATTAACCACTTGCTCACTGGGGTGTTAAACCACCATCCTGTCCAGGCCATTTTTCAGTATTCAGCACTGCAGTACTTTGAGTGACATTTATTCCGTCATTCAATGCTGTACTGAAATTAATTTTTAACCAGTTTTTGGGGACAAATAGAGCTTTCTTTTGGTGGTATTTATTTTTTACTATATAATAAAAAAGTTAAAATTTTTTTTGAAAAAAAACCCTGTTTTTCCTACGTTATGTGATTAAACATTTATTATTATACAATTTTTTGGTAAAACATAAAAGATGGGATCATGTCGGGTAAACAGACACCAAACATGTCAAGCTTTAAAATTGTGTGCATCCGCGAAATTGCAAAAAACTACCATGCCTCAAATTGGCCATAGGTGACGCTTTAAAAGCTTTTACCGCTCATCAGTTTAGAGCAGGGGTGCCCATTAGGTCGATCGCGATCTACCAGTCGATCGCGATCTACCAGTCGATCACAAAGCGAACACTGGTAGATCGCGATCGGCTGTGTCCTGTCCTCTCGTGGGGCTCATGCGGCTGCCGGCTGAATGTGTTAGACGCCGCAGACGGGAAGGGGCGGGATACCTCTCCCCGTGTGCAACGTCGGCCACATTCGGCAACAAGAGCACCGTGGGAGGACAGGACGCCAGCGCATGACAGGAAACCTGGAAAGCTGCTGCAGTGGAGGTAAGAAAAGACAGACAGGAGAGAGACAGCAGAGAAAATGAGAGAAGAGACAGCAGAGAGAGAGAGAGAGAGAAGAAAGACAGCAGAGAGAGAGAGAGAGAGAAGAGACAGCCAAGAGAGAGGGCCAGTTCACACCACAAAGTCTGCGTTCCAGAGTTTTCGGCCTCTAGAACGCACTGGAACGCAAGCCAGCCGCCCCCTATATTTAGGTACGGGAGGGGCCGTGGTGTTGTATTGAAGTCAATGGCACCGCCCGACCGCAGTGCGATCGCCCGCGCCCGGAACGCAGGCACATTAGTGCCTGCGTTCCAGTCCAGTGTGATCTGCAAAAATAGTGCTTGCAGCATTTTTGCAGATTGCACTGTGTATGTATCATATTATGTATATAGAATATTATCGTATAGTGGAATGTCTTTTAACCTGTCATTTTAATTGACTTCAATGCACCGCCACGCCCCCTCCCGCCCCTGAATGTAGGTGTTTTTTTGTTGGTAGATCTCATTGAGCTCGTCATTTAAAAAGTAGATCTCCAGATGAAAAATTGTGGGCGCCCCTGGTTTAGAGTTAACAGTGATTAATGGCCTTAAAATTATTGCTCATACTCCCACGTTCACAGCGATATGTAACAGGCGTAATCGTTTTTTTTCACACATAGGCTGTGTAGGGAAAAATTATGACCCTTGCTTAATCACATTTTCAGACTCCATTTTGTCTATGTAATATTATGCTTAATGAAACATATTATGAAATGTATCTTCTAAGTAAATATGGTAAAATATAAGGTACACTACTAATAGTAAAAGATATGACAATTCAAATGATAAATACACATACTAAATATAGTTATACAGTAGATGTCCTACACATATAATATGTTAAATACATACTGTATACTAAATACCAGGGGCGTAAGTACAGATCATGGGGCCCCATATCAAAATTTTACTTGGGCCCCATGGCAAATCCTTTAAAATCTAAATCAAGAACAAGTAGCAGTTGAGCCGTCTGCATAATCTCTTCCTGTACACCTGATATCAACTCTTCTTGATTGGAAAAGCCATAAAGAGGTACAAAGTCAACAGCAACTTCAGCAATCTTTCATGGGGCCCCCTTCCACCCCCCAGGCCCCTTAGTAGCCGCATGGGCTGCTATAGCTATTGTTACGGCCCTGCTAAATACAGGTATAGACTTTAAAACATCTTATTATGTTAGACATGTTAAAACAAATCTTTAGAGAAAAATGTATATTGTACAGCATTTTTGTAGCTAGGGTGTTAGCCAGAGGCGGAAATACCACCGGTGCATCCGGTGCGGCCGCACCGGGGCCTGAGACTGTGGGGGGGGCCTGTGAGGTCCGGTCCTGGGCACCCCCCATGGAATATTGGGCAGTGCAGGGTCCCGGTGTTAGAACACCGGGGCCCGCACTGCCGACTGGCGTCTCAGTCTGGCTCTGATCCTGCGCCGCAGGCTGGGTGAGTCCTAATCGTGGGGGGGAGGGGGGCGAGAGAAGGGGGGGTTGTGTGCTGTTACTTCATTTAGACAAGTGGATTATAATGGGCAACATTACTCTGTAATGTTGCTTATTATAATCTATTTCTCTGATTAAATGATTACAGACAGGCCTCTGGTCTATCTAAGTTTGTGACTACTTTAGAATGTGTGGGGTCACACATTTTAACGTAATCCCCCCAGTTTTTCGGCGGTGGAATGTGTGATGGCCAATAGGTCAAGCATTTCAACGCTTTCTCAGCTGTTCCAGGTCAGATCAGCATCGCAAATCGTATGTTCATGAGAACCGATCTGCCCTGGAACAGGTGTTCGGTACTGAAATGTCACTTCTATCCGACTTTGTGAGTACAGTGGAATGTGAGATCACAGTCACAAGTCGCATAGAAGTGACATTTCAGGAGCGATCAGCTGTTCCAGGGCAGATCGGCTCTCCTGCACATCCGACCTGCGATGCCGATCTGCCCTGGAACAGCGGAGAAAGCATTGGAATTCTTCACCTGTTGGCGGTCACACATTCCACCCCAAAAAAACTGGGCGTGTGACCATGTCACCAGTCACACATTCTAACGTAGTCACAAACTTTGATAGAACACCGCCATCAGATTGGGTATGGCCGGTACCCATGTGAGGGGTCTGGGCAGCCTGGTGGGCCCCTTACATGGGGGGCCCCTCACAGCTGTACCTTTGGTGGCATGGCAGAGGTGACAGGGGAGGGGGTAGAGATGTGTACTCAGTAGGCAGCAGGGAGAGATGTATACTGGAGGGAGAGTGGGAGAGATGTGTACTGAGGGTGGAGAGATTTATACTGGGGGAAACAATATGTCCTAAAGGAGGGGGAGAGAAGTGAACTCAGAAAGAGAAAAGAGTGTACTGGATGGAAAGATTTATTGGGATCACAACCTCTCTCCCTTCCCCTCCCCCTCCCCCCTCAGAACTCCTGTGGCACCAGGAGAAGTGCTCTGACAATTCACACTTCACAGACTATGTATTCACATGTCCTGCACCTCCACCTGGCACCAGGAGCAAGTGTTGAAAAATGATCGTCCTCTAAGAGCAGAGGGAGAACTTACTGTGAGGAGCTTCACACGCTGCATGACAGGCTCACAGTCAGCTACGGCCACAGTGCGGGCTCAGCAACTTCAAAGTCAGCAGCAGGGGGGCGGGGCTGACAATACAGCTACATCCAGATCTCTACAGACAGCAGCCGCTGGAGCTGCTCGTATACTAGCACCAGCACTGGAGCCACTGCACTGCTGCTTAATTCAGCAGGGGGGCACACGGGGGGCAAAGCATAAAACAGGGGGGGCAATTGCCCCCCCTTGCCCCCCTGTAGTGACGCCTATGCCCTTGTCTCTTTTCTCTCTGTTTGTCTGTTGCAATATGTTGTTTTTGCAGTGTCTTGGCCATCTATTCTCAAGGTTACTCCACTGCCAATTCTTTGTTCTATGCCTTGGAGTGAACCCACCACCGGGCCAACGTAGGTCTTTAGGGGTGCTGGTGTTATGACCTACTCTGTGGTGGATGGTTTACATATTGTATCAGTCCACCAGTTCTGCAATTAGCTCCTCAAATCTCATCAGCCGACATAATTCCGCTGTCCATTCCAAAACCGGGGGAATGACAGGGGAATTCCAATGTGGATATTAAAGCTCGGGCAGCGTTGACAAAAAATCTAAGTAGAGATTTCTTCACCTTAGAGATAGAGCCCGGGAAGATGGAAAGTAAAGCCATTTTAGGCGTAATGTGAATTTCAGTAGAGGTAACTCGTGAGTAGACGTGAGAGACAGCTCGTCAAAAGGGCTGGAGCAGAGGGCAGCTCCAACAAATGTGAGTCAGTGTACCTAGCTCAGTTTGGCATCTCCAGCAGGAGTCTGAGTGCATTGGGCAAATTTGGTGCAATCTTACCGTGGACCTATACCACCTGGTCAACAACTTGAAATTCCGTTCTTGCGCGTACGTTGACATGCA